CAAAGTGTTAACTAATAATTTTCGTTACGCCTTATGATCTCCTACATAGTTAACAAAGTGTTAACTAATAATTTTCGTTACGCCTTATGACCTCCTACATAGTTAACAAAGTGTTAACTAATAATTTTCGTTACGCCTTATGACCTCCTACATAGTTAACAAAGTGTTAACTAATAATTTTCGTTATGCCTTATGACCTCCTACATAGTTAACAAAGTGTTAACTAATAATTTTCGTTATGCCTTATGACCTCCTGGATATTTCAGTCTAAACTTTGATTTATCTGTGGATGGAGGACTAGACCTGGCTCTACCAATCACGTCCAAACCTACATCTGGGTTTACGACCGGGCAAACAATTCTTCATGTCATTCATCCAGGTTTTTATACTTCATGATGATCAAGAAAGAAAAGCATAATGACCACCACAACATCGTTTCTTAGAATTATGATTTTATTATATTTATCCACCAATTATCTTCTATATATATTATTTTTTTCAATTATCTCGTATAATGACACCTAAACAAGCATAATTGGATTGTGATTATAAAACAACATGATCATTATATAATGATTTTATGTTTCTCTTATGCCTTAAAGGATTAACAAGTTTCATTTTAAAAAAAAAGTTTAAAAACTGCCTTTGTAGATAGGAGGAATTATTCAATTATTTCATTTCCAATCGAGTAAATAGGTAGAGCTCTTAACAACCACAAAGTTTAGGATTAAAAAAATCGTAATTTATAAAGAGACAAGTATGATAATATATCATATGCATTAGACATGGAGAATATATTGTATGTAACATAAATAAATAGTAAATTACCAAGACAAATTGTAGAACAATAGAATAATTTATATATCAAAAAGAAAATGACAAAATAATAATAATAAATACCAAGAATATTATTTATTCAATAGACGAAAAGAAAAAAGAAACAGTTATGAATGCAAAGACAAAATATTTTTGGTTCATAAAAAGACTTAACATGAAGAAGCTGTTTTGTTTTTTTTAAGCACAAAGATGCACAATAAACTATCTGTGCTGTGTCCAACTCCAAATTTTAGCGTAATAAGCCTGCTGCTGATGGTTTTGGTTTGTTTCAAATTTCGCGCATAGCTACACGAGAGCTACCTGAGATAGCCGTCCCTAATTTAGGAGTGAAAGACTAGAGGGAAGCCTGTTAGTCATCACCACCTACCGCCAACTTTTGGGCTACGAATAATGGGATTGACCGTCATATCATAACGCCCACAGCTGCTAAAAGGACGAGCATGTTTGATGTAACGGGGATTCGAACCCGCGACCCTCAGACGGCGAGTCAAGCGCCATAACCACTGGCCATGCCGAGATATCTTGAATGCCACCCAAAGAAGAAAAGATAAACACATGTTACGATTAATAATGAAGATGTGTGTGTGTGATATAATGTGAAAAGAATACGGAGCCGATAAGATAATAAAAAACATATAACCCTTATCGAAGAAATTGTGGAATTTATAATGAGAAAAAAATACAGGATCAATAAATTATCTAAAAATATATCTTTATCGGATAAAGTGTGGGATTAATACTGATAAAAAATATATGATCAATGGATTAATTATAAATGTATCCGTTATCGAATATAGTGTGGAATTAATACTGATAAAAAATATAGGATCAGTGGATTAATTATAAATGTATCCGTCATCGAATATAGTGTGGAATTAATATTGATAAAAAATATAGGATCAATGAATTAATTATAAATGTATCCGTTATCGAATATAGTGTGGAATTAATACTGATAAAAAATATAGGATCAATGAATTAATTATAAATGTAAAAGAGAAAAATATTTATAACGATACAAACGACATAAAGAAACTAATAGAGGAAGAAAACTCTTTATAAGTTAATTATCATGAAACATTTTAACGTAAATATTGTAAAGACAATCTGAAACAAACTAGTACAAATAAAAAGGTTAATATTTACTATATAAAGTAGCTTTCTTTTTAGAAGGAGTTTATAGCTACTCCGTTCTCACTAGCACACAACATTCTAAGGGCATTTGTTTCTATGAAATACGGTATGTTCAGTGCAGTCATAAAGAAACTCATAAAGCGAGATGAACATGAAAAGAAATTAGAACCAAGTACGAAAATACGAGTGAAGGAAGACAGATCTCGAAGAAGTCATTGGTTGAACTTTAAAATCAGAACAGTGATCAGGCTACGAAATAGCTCCAAGAAACCCGACCTAGGCGTTGCCTGCCTGGCTGTCACAGTCGGCGGGTTGCCACGGCCGACTTGCTTCTCACTTTCCCTAGGTCTGGCAGCCAGATGTGGTGCTGCTGAATCTGTGGTGGAGGGAACTGGTCATCCACGCGGCCTACCTCACCCCTCGCGTGCTCAAACGTAAGCATTTAGAAACGACAGTCCTTAAGTCAACGTCCTAAGTACTAAGAGAGGATTATGTGAAGAGACTGCAAGGGGCTACGTGCCGACAAAGGAGAGATAAGATTTGAAAATAAGTAGTGACGTCAGTGTTCCTTCGAAATCATCGCTATGTTTTTGCGATGAGCTCAGGACTTCCTTGTGATATTCAAAATTAATTCCCCGATTTGATGCCATCGTCTACTATATATATACTTAGAGACGTTTGTTGTTGTTGTCCTTTACATCCACGTGACCTCTTATCTCGGCCATCCCTTAATCCTCACACGAGGTGAGAAAGCCTATGCCAAAGCTCGTTACAGATAAGCACTAAGTGCGGGGAAGGTCGCCACGCGCTCTGCAGTCTCCTCTGAAAACTAAGGAGTGGCCAAGAAAACTGGGCTGATTTACGACTCCCATGGTATTTTTGCCAGTTTCGTCATCGGTGTTTTGTCAACTACGCATAAGTGGCGCATATACACACACACATATACATATTATTAATATAAGTTTATCTGAATAAATTTATGTTATGTTTTCTTGCGAACTGCCCCCCCCCCCCAGTGACACAGCGGTATGTCTTCTGCGGACTTACAACGCTAGAATCTGGGTTTCGATACCCGTGGTGAGCAGATCACAGATAGTCCATTGGGTAGCTTTGTGCTTAATTACAAACAAACAAATCTTGCGAACTAATTGCTTAATAATTGATAAATTTAGGACAGCTTTTGTTTTTATATTATCGATTACGAAACGTTCCAGCTGGTGTTTCTAATGTTAAAAAAACAACAACGACACGTTATTTAGAAGATTCTGTGAATAGATAATATATTCTTCTAGGACTATGCATCATCCAATTTCGCGCGAACTAAGAAAGACCAAGAATTATGAACTAATGTATTGCAACTGGTGTTCTACAAGAGAGACACCAGGGAGAAATTATTTCGGTTTGTGGTGAACGTAAAGGCAGTGTCTACAAGTTGGTATCACGTACGCAGTGCGAGTGGACAAGTTACGTGAAAAAGGTCCGGCCCTACGGCTCTTTTGTGTTAGATCTCCTGATAGTGAAGGCGGGCGTTCACACGAGCAAGGGAACTAAGTAGTAGAACTTTACTGTATCAGACCTAGTCTGAATGTGTGTGTTTGTATACTTGTTGTTGGTAAAATGTTTTACTCTCAAACCAGTACATGGTCCAACAGATAAGTAAGGCATAATCTCAAAAATGTTCCGTTTAGGCTACTCTTACAGGTTACAAAAAAAAAAGTCGAACTCGTGATTTTGTATCGACCAGACCTTGTATTTTTTATGATTAACCTCTATCAGCAACGCAAGAGAGTGTTGTGTGTCTAAGTGCGTTACTCTCCCTCCCCCCCCCCCCCCAGTGGCACAGCGGCATGTCTGCGGACTTAAAACGCTAGAAACAGGGTTTCGATACCCGTGGTGAGCAGAGCACAGATAGCTCTTTGTGTAGCTTTGTGCTTAACTTCAAATAAACAAAACACTTACTCCCTGGTTTTTGTTTTTTATTATTAACCTCTATCAGCAGCGCAAGCGAGTGCTGTGTTTCGAAATGCGTTTCTCTCACTCACTCCCTGTTTTTTTATTATTAACATCTGTCATCAACGCAAGAGAGTGTTGTGTTTCGAAATGTGTTTCTCTCACTCACTTACTGTTTTTTATTATTATTGTTAGCCTCTATCAGCAGCGCAATCGGGTGTTGTGTTTCGAAATGCGTTTCTCTCACTCATTCACTCTCTGTCCCCCGGTGGGACAGCGGTAAGTCTTCGGATTGACAACGCTCAAATCAGGGGTTCGATTCTCCTCGATGGACACAGCAGATAGTTCAATGTGGCATTGCTATAAGAAAACACTCACTATCTATCTATCTATCTAATCCTTCTGTCTTGCTTAATGATCATGTTATTTCTCTTCTCTGACTAACAGCAGTTAATATTGTGCGTTGTCACATTAGTGCATAATGCTAAAAAAACAGCAAGCGTAACGTGCTTTGATCTACTGCTAGTGGTAAATGTTAACCATGTTTTCAGACTTATCTCAACCTAAAGACGTATTATGTTATTATTGTATTTCCTACATACACGACAGTCATACATATCTTATCTATCTGTTTGTACTTACATGGGTTATCGATGTTAGTACTGCTAAAATATAAAACGAACGACGTTTCAGACAATATATGACGTGATATTTCCACTGTGACGTCAGTTACCTATCCCGCCTGTTTATTATGCCCTCAAACGCTTTAACTTTATTAAATGTCTATATTAAATGGTAGTTATTCTGTTGATTAGAGATGAGTTGACTGTTAGAAATTAATCAGTTATTATTATTACGTAACGAGTTCATTATCTCAGATAAAAATAAATTAATAAGCAGCCGGTAACTCCTGAGACAATTAGAAATACAAAACATTGGGCGAACTTGGATATGGTCTCTTAATGCAGTGGTAATTTATTCACAGGGAAAACAAAGTATATGGTACAACTGTTTATCGTATTATTACTGATAGTTTAAATGAAAAAAACCCCATAAATATTGGTCAATTTTAAAAGACTGTTTTTTTATCTGGTCTAAACTTGGGGGCATAATTCATAACGTCTTAAGTTAAGACAGTTTGTAATTTTAGTTACAAGTGCATTACTAATATATTTGTTTTCATTTTCGCACTTCTCCACTAATATGAGAAAGACCAATTAAGAATTTCATGTATATATATTTTAATAGAATCCAAACAAACTAAATACAGTAATAACACAATATCTACCCACTGAAAAACAAAGACTGAAAAAATGGAGTTCAAAAGAATATGGAAAACAACAACATAGGAGAAAATGTAAGTTGATGGAAACATGTGATTATGTATTAAGTTACTTACAAGCTATTTACAATATTGTGTCTGATTAAGTATTGTCCCCCGGTGGAGCAGCGGTAAGTTTATGGACATACAATGCTAAAATTCAGGGTTAGATTCCTTCCAGTGGGCAGCGTGTCCATAGCCCATTGTTTAGCTTTGCACTAAAAAATAACAATTGATTAAGAATAAAGGATCTTAATAAATTTTGGTTTACACCTTTCAACATTGCTAAACAAAAAGTTTTTTTTTTTGTTCTGAGAAATAAAATATTCAAAAAGTTATGTAGAATTAAAAGTTGTCAAACTGCTACCTGATAGACGAGTTTTGTATCAATCGATAAGAGTGTTCTTTGTGGTTTTTCTGGATCTCCTCACGTGTTATGCATCCATTATTCCTGCATTCTTCTAGTAGCAATATTGTGATAAACAGTTGGAGTTTTTCCCTAACATATATACATTTGCGTATAGATTTATTCTTTATAATGTTAGATAATTTATATTATTCTAACTGAAAATGTCATTGTTCAACTTAGATTTCACGAAATATTAATAAAAATAAGTTGTTCACACTTAGATAAAATGTTAGAGGTGTAAATTATCCAAAAGGAAAGCAAAATTGTCTTCAAGAGCATGAGATGTCCTGAAAGAAAGTTGAGTAGACTTGAGGAACATGAGCTGTCTTGAAAGAAATTAGATTAGACTTAAGGGACATGAGATGTCCTGAAAGAAAGTAGATTAGACTTAAGGAACATGAGATGTCCTGAAAGAAAGTTGAGTAGACTTGAGGAACATGAATTGTTCTGAAAAAAAGTAGAGTAGACTCGAGGAACATGAGTTGTCCTGAAAGAAAGTAGATTAGACTTAAGGAACATGAGATGTCCTGAAAGAAAGTTGAGTAGACTTGAGGAACATGAGTTGTCCTGAAAGAAAGTAGATTAGACTTAAGGAACATGAGATGTCCTGAAAGAAAGTTGAGTAGACTTGAGGATCATGAGTTGTCCTGAAAGAAAGTAGATTAGACTTAAGGGACATGAGATGTCCTGAAAGAAATTAGATTAGACTTAAGGAACATGAGATGTCCTGAAAGAAAGTTGAGTAGACTTGAGGAACATGAATTGTCCTGAAAAAAAGTAGATTAGACTTAAGGAACATGAGCTGTCCTGAAAGAAAGTAGAGTAGACTTCAGGAACATGAGATGTCCTGAAAGAATGTACAGTAGACTTCAGGAACATGAGATGTCCTAAAAGAATGTACAGTAGACTTAAGGAACATGAGCTGTCCTGAAAGAAAGTAGAGTAGACTTCAGGAACATGAGATGTCCTGAAAGAATGTACAGTAGACTTCAGGAACATGAGATGTCCTAAAAGAATGTACAGTAGACTTCAGGAACATAAGATGTCCCGAAAAAAGCATCGAAGACTTGTATTTGAACTGTTGTGAAGGGACACAGGGCAAACTTGCCTAATGTAGATCGATCGCCCTCATAACTTTAAACCTTAGCAGAAGAAAACACGCTTTTCTTTATGTAAATAGTTTTATCAGTCTGGATCAGTTATGCTTTCTATGAAACGTTTAAACGAGCCTTCCAACTATACAGCATATGGTATTAGAATTTTCAACTCGGTAAATAACAAAACTCAAGTTACACCTGATTGCCATGAGCAAGGCTTATTTGTTATTTCATGTGGCTTGAAACAAATGTTTAGAAAAGCAGCACTGAGAGTTTGAAAATATTGTCAACTAATGTATGGTTGATATTACTTGATGTAATTTTAAATCACAGAGAAATTATAATATGCTCTGATGTATTTATCTACTTTTATTTTACAAGTCAAACTTACAATAAAAGCTGCACATGGGCGTCCGCAGGGGGGGGGGGGCAGTTGCCCCCTTGGAAAATGAGAAACAAAATTCTTTCTTTATTCATTCGGCATATATATATATGATTTTTTGTATTCATTTCACACTACTTTGTCCCCCCACCCCGGATAACTTTGCCCTTCCCTGGAAAAATTTCTGCGGACGCCCATGAAGCTACATGTTGATATTATAATCGAGGAAAGAGAAATATAAACTAATAACGTTTCGATCAATCGCTATTAGCTGGTAGAAACATCACGTTATTTACAGAATTAATATAGTTTTTTTTTTTAGAAAAGCTCCGCCACCTACTACCCCGAGGTTGGTCATATCAGTCACAGTTTTCGAAAACCATGGAGGCAGCTGATTGCCGTTAGATGGCGATATACCACTGGCAGTGGTATGACCCTGGTTGCGACACGAAAACAAGATGACAACAGTTATCTCGTCATTCATCCCGAGTGCTAGTGTTGACGTGCTAGCGTGAAGATCAGTTATCAGTCCGTCCTGCTACCTGGCGGACAAAAGAAACATTCCTGGGCCGTGGGAAGCCCATAAAAATGACACTAAAGGGCCGATCAGGACGGCATTTCCCTGCAGGGGGTTGACGAGAATATGCATCAGGTTGTGCTGAGGTGAGCGTGATTGATAAGAATCGGTCTCCGCGTGCTCTCCCCATGAGATTTTTCCACGTGAATCGGAATGTAGCCGGCCCTGAAGAAGACTAAAAAAAACATTTGTACGTTTATGAGTGTGTATTGTATTTTGATATCACAACTATTGAAAAATAAAATCATCCGGCCAAAAGAAGCATTTAGTTGCTGTGTTTCACCGACGAATGAACGTACTACGATGGTCGTCACTTAAATAGACTCTGGTGCTATAGATAAATTTTAACAGTCAGACCAATCTGCTGTGATGGTTATCATTTCATTAGACACCAGTGCTATAGATAAATTTTAACAGTCAGACCAATCTGCTGTGATGGTTATCATTTCCTTAGACCCCAGTGCTATAAATAAATTTTAACAGTCAGACAAATCAACTATTATGGTTGTCAGTTACCTAGAACCCCGGTGCTTTAGATAAACTTTAACAGTCAGATCAACCTACTATGATGGTTATCAGTTACCTAGACTCTGATGCTATAGATAAATGTTAACAGTAAGATCAATATGCTATGATGGTTGTTACTAAACTAGACCCCAATGCTATAGATACATTTTAACAGTCACCCCAATCTGCTGTGATGGTTGTCAGTTAACCAGAGCCCGGTTCTGTATACAAATTTTAACAGTCAGGCTAATCTGCTGTGATGGTTGTTACTTAACTAGACCCCAATGCTATAGATACATTTTAACAGTCAGACCAATCTGCTGTGATGGTTGTCAGTTAACCAGAGCCCGGTTCTGTATACAAATTTTAACAGTCAGGCTAATCTGCTGTGATGGTTGTCATTTAACGAGACCCCAGTGCTAT